TGGGGTTTCTCTGGGCTTTGGGGTTCTCTCGGCGCTGTGGGGTTCTCTCGGCGCCTTGGGGTCGCTCTGACCCCACTGTGGATTTGTCTGTTGGTGTTTCCAGCCCGAGGCGGGGCCGGGGGCAGCTCCCAGACCGGGGACGCTCTGGGAAAGGCGTTGGCATCCGTAAGGAAACCTCATTAGGTTTTAATTGGGGCTTAATGGCGACGGGAGCGGGGAATGTCCTGACAAGTCCTACAAAAGTCCCAAAAAATTCCCCAAAAATTCACAAAAAATTGTAAAAAAATTCCCCAAAAATTCACAAAAAAATCATAAAAAATTTTTAAAAATTCACAAAAAATTGTAAAAAAATTCACCAAAAAATCATAAAAAATTTTTAAAAATTCACAAAAAATTGTAAAAAAATTCCCCAAAAATTCACAAAAAAATCATTAAAAATTTTTTAAAATTCACAAAAAATCGTAAAAAATTGCACCAAAAATTCACCAAAAAATCATAAAAAATTTTTAAAAATTCACAAAAAATCGTAAAAAATTTGGTTAATGGCGACGGGAGCGGGGAATGTCCTGACAAGTCCTACAAAAGTCCCAAAAAATTCCCCAAAAATTCACAAAAATTCGTAAAAAAAATCACAAAAAAATTCTCAAAAAATTGAAAAAAATTCACAAAAAATTGTAAAAAAAAATTCCCCAAAAATTCTCAAAAAATTGTAAAAAATTCCCCAAAAATTCACAAAAAAATCATTAAAAATTTTTTAAAATTCACAAAAAATCGTAAAAAATTGCACCAAAAATTCACCAAAAATTTTTCAAAAATCTTGTAAAATACACAAAAAATTCATAAAAAATGTAAAAAAATCACGAGAAATTCCCCAAAGAATTTACAGAAAATGGTAAAAAAATTTATTAAAAAATTCGGAAAAAATGACAAAAAATCAAAAAAAATTCACAAAAAAAGTTAAAAAAAAACCCCAAAAATTCACAAAAAAATTCACCAAAAAATTGTAAAAAAATCACAAAAAATTCCTGAAAAATTTACCAAAAATCCTGAAAAAATGACAAAAAATCCCAAGTAATTCACAAAATTCCCCAAAAAACTGTTAAAAATTTCACAAAAAATTTTTTAAATTCCAAAAAGATACCCAAAATTCTTCAAAAAATTCCAAAAAAATTCACAAAAATTCTTGAAAAAATGACCAAAAAAATTCACAAAAAAACCCTCAAAAAATCCTGGAAAAAAATCACAAAAAGATTCAAAAAATCCCCCCCAAAAATACCAAAACCTCCCAAAAATTTCCCAAAGAAATCCTCAAAAATCACCAAAAAATTCCCCAAAAACCCAAAAACTTCCCCAAAATCCCCCAAAATTTCCCAAAAAATTCATTTAAAAATAAAAAAATACTCAAATTTCACCAAAAAACCCCCAAATATTTGAAAAGATAACCCTAAGAAATTCTCAAAAATCCCCAAAAACATTCTTAAAAAATCTCCAAAAAATCCCCCAAAAAGTCCCCCCAAAATCCCCAAAAAATCTCCCAAAATTCCACAAAAATAAAAAAATCCCCCAAAATTTCTCAAAAATTCCCTAAGAAATTCTCAAAAAAATCCTCAAAAATTCTGTTTGAAATTCTCCTTAAAGATCCCCAAAACTCCAAATAATTTCCCAAAAGATCCCAAAATTCCTTAAAAAAACCCAAGAAAATTCCCAAAATATCCCCAAAAAGTCCCTCAAAAATTAGCAAAAACTTTTCAAAAATATCCCCTCAAAATCCCCAAAAATTTCCAAAAAAATTCCCATAAAGTCAGCAAAAAACAAAAAATAAACTCCCCAAAGATTTCCCAGAAATTCATTCCAAAATAAAAAAAATCTTCAAAATTTACCAAAAAAACCCCCAAAATTCTCAAAAAATCCCCAAAAATCCTCAAAAATTCCTTTTAAAATTCTCCAAAACAATCCCCAAAAAAATCCCAAAAGTTCCCCAAAAATCCCCAAAAAGTCCCTCAAAAATGCACAAAAAATTTCAAAAATATCCCCCCAAAATCCCTAAAAAATTTCCAAAAAAGATCTCTAAAAATCAGCAAAAACCAAAAAAAATTCCCCAAAAAACCAACAAAAATTTCCCCAGAAATTCCCCCAAAATTCCCAAAAACTCTCAAAACATTTCCCAAAAATACAAAAAATCCCCAAAATTTTCCCAAAAATTCATTTAAAAATAAAAAAATCTTCAAAATTTGCAAAAAAAAGGAACACCAAAAATTCCAAAAAAATTCCCAAAAAATTGTAAAAAATTCAGCAAAATTCCCCAAAAAAATCCTTAAAAATTCACAAAATATTCCCTGAAAAAATCACAAAAAAAATTTTAAAAAATCATTAAAAATTCCACAAAAATGGACAAAAAATTTAAGAAAAAAATAACAAAAGATCACCAAAAAATCCCCAAAAATTCACCAATTGTAATGAAGTCCCCAAAAATTCACAAGAAATCCTCAAAAATTCACCAAAAAATCCTTCGAAATTGGTTTAAATTTTTTTCCAAAAAATCCCCCCAAATTCCCCAAAATTCCTCAAAAAAAACCCCAAGAAAATTCCCTAAAAAAACTCCTCAAAAACAAAATATTCCCTGAAAAAATCACAAAAAAAATTTTAAAAAATCATTAAAAATTCCACAAAAACGGACAAAAAATTTAAGAAAAAAAAAAAACCAAAAAATCACCAAAAAATCCCCAAAAATTCACCAATTGTAATGAAGTCCCCAAAAATTCACAAGAAATCCTCAAAAATTCACCAAAAAATCCTTCGAAATTGGTTTAAATTTTTTTCCAAAAAATCCCCCCAAATTCCCCAAAATTCCTCAAAAAAAACCCCAAGAAAATTCCCTAAAAAAACTCCTCAAAACTCAAAAAATTTCCCCAAAACTCCTCCAATCAGTCCATCAGCAGCTGCCTTTCATTTTTCTAACGTCGGTTCATTTGCATAAATCTGCATCTGATTTGCATGCCTCTGCATAGATTTGCACGTTCACTGTCTCTCTCTGCAAGATTTATTCTCCAGATCACACCAACAGCAGCTTCCCCTCCAACCCCTCCACTCCCGTCGGCTCTCCCCCTTCTCTCGCAGGTTGGTGGCTTTTTTTTCATCCCAAATTTTGACCCAAAATCCCCCAATTTGAACCCAAAAAAATCAATTTTTAGTCCCCAAAATTCCCTGATTTTATCCCCAAAATATCTTGAAAAAATAAAAAAAAATTGGATTTTTTTCTTAAAAAATTCCATTTTTTCCCCAAAAATATTGAATTTTTTCCCCAAATAAATGGAATTTTTTCCCAAAAAATTTCAGGGTTTTCCCAAAAATTTTTAGGAATTATTTCCCAAAAAATTCGAATTTTTTTCCCTAAAAATTCCTATTTTTTCCCCCCAAAAAATGGAATATTTTCCCCCAAAATTTTGATTTTTTTCCCAAAATAAATCGAATTTTTTTTCCCAAAATAAATTGAATTTTTAGGATTTTTTTTTCTCCCAGATTTTGAAGGGTTTTTACCCAAAAATTCAAATTTTTTTCCAAAAAAATTGGAATTTCTCTCCCCAAAAAAATTTGGTTTTTTGTGAAAATAAATTGAATTTTTTCCCAAAAATTTTTAGGCATTATTTCCCAAAAAATTCGAATTTTTTTTCCCTAAAAAATTCCAATAGTTTCCCAAAAAAATCTATTTTTTTTCCAAATAAATTGAATTTTTTCCCAAAAATTTTTAGGCATTATTTCCCAAAAAATTCGAATTTTTTTCCCTAAAAAATTCCAATATTTTCCCAAAAAAATCTATTTTTTTTCCAAATAAATTGAATTTTTTCCCTCAAAAATTGGATTTTTTAACCCAAATTAATTGAATTTTTTCCAAAAAAAGTTCAGGGTTTTTCCCCCAAGTTTTTAGAATTTATTCCCAAAAAAATTCTAATTTTTTTCCCCCCAAAAAATGGAATATTTTCCCCAAAAATTTTGATTTTTTCCCCCCAAAATTATAATTTTTTCCCCAAAATAAATTGAATTTTTCCCCAAGTAATTTGAATTTTTCCTGCTAATTTTTAGGATTTTTTTCTCCCAAATTTTGAGGTGTTTTTACCTAAAAATTCAGATTTTTGTCCAAAAAATTTCCTATTTTCTTTCTCAGAAAAATTGGAATTTCTCTCCCAAAAAAATTTGTTTTTTTGTGAACATAAATTGAATTTTTTCTTAAAATATTTCAAGGTTTTTCCCCAAATTTTTAGGATTTATTTCCCCAAAAATTTGGCTTTTTTTCCCTAAAAATTCCAATTCTTTTCCCCCAAAAAATCGGTTTTTTCCCCCAAAAATATTTGATTTTTTCCCCAAATAAATTGAATTTTTTCATCAAAAAATCCAGGGTTTTTCTCCTATTTTTTAGGCTTTATTTCCCAAAAAAACCCCTTGATGTTTTCTTATAAATAATGGATTTTTTTCATAAAGTAATTTGTATTTTTTCTCAAAATAACTTGAATTTTCTTCAACAAATTTGGAGGGTTTTTATCCAAAAATATTGGGAATAATTCTCCAAAAATTGAGATGTTTTTCCCCCAAAATTTCAATTTTTTTTTCCGCAAAAAATCGATTTTTTTTTTCTCAAAATAAATTGATTTTTCTCTCAAAATAATCTGGGTTTTTGCACAAAATTTGAGGGATTTTTTCCCCAAAAAATTCAGATTTTTTTCCCAAAAACTTTGGGATTTTTTCCCAAAAAATCAATTTTCATCTCAGAAAAATGTGATTTTTTTTCTCAAAATAATTTGAATTTTTTTCTCAAATTTTAGGGATTTTTTCCCCACATTTTAAGGAATAATTCTCATAAAGTTTGGACTTCTTTTTCCAAAAATATTGATTTTTTTTCATAGAAAAAAATGGAAAATTTTTCCCCAAAATTTTAAGGATTTGCTCCCAAATATTTAAGAATTATTCCACCAAAATTTGGAATTTTTCCCCCAAAAATCCTTTTTTTCTCTCAAAAAATTTTGATTTTTTTCCAAATTTTTTTTTCTCAAAATAATTTGAATTTTCACCCCCCCAAATTTTTAGGGATTTTGCCCCAAGTTTTTGGGAATTATTCCCAAAAAGTTGGATTTATTGTCCAAAAAAATTCAATTTTTTTCCCCAAAAATTTGAAATTTTTTCCCCATTTTTTTAGGGTTTATTTCCCAGTCTTTTCTCCAATTTTTTAGGAATTATTCCCAAAATAATTTGAATTTTCCCCCCAATTTTTAGCCTTTTCCTCCTCAAATAAATTAAATTTTTTCCCCAAAATTTTGTGGATTTTTCCCCAAAAATTTGAAATTTTTTCCATTTTTTTTAAGATTTCTGCCCCCAAATAATTCAAATTTTCTGAGAATTTTTTCAGATTTTTTTTCCATATTTTCCACAATTTTTTAAGGATATTTTTCCCAACTTTTAACCATTTTTTCCCCAAATATTTTCAATTTTCCCCAAAAATTTTTTACCATTTCTCCCCAATTTTTACCCCAATTTTTTACAATTTTTCCCCAAAAAATCTGAAATTTTTTCCTCAATTTTTACCCTTTTTGTCCCAAAATAATTTGAATTTTTTTTTCTAATATTTTGAGGATTTCTGTTGGAAAAACCCTCGGAAATTTTGGCGGGAAACCCCAATTTTCCCGCTTTTTTTTCACCAAATTTTGGCAGGAGAACCAAAAATTTTGGTGGGAAAAGAACCCAAATTTTGGCCGGAAATCCCCAAATTTTGGCCGGAAATCCCAATTTTCCCACCTCTTTTTTCCACCAAATTTTGGCGGGAAAAGAACCCGAATTTTGGCGGGAAACCCCCAAATTTTTGCAGGAACCACCAATTTTCCCGCCTTTTTCCCCTCAATTTTGGCCGGAAAATCCCGAATTTTGGCGGGAAAAGAACCCAACATTTGGCAGCAAACCCTGATTTTGGTGGGAAAATCCCAAATTTTGGCGGGAAACTCCAATTTTCCCGCCTTTTTTCCACCAAATTTTGGCGGGAAAAGAACCCGAATTTTGGCGGGAACCCCCAATTTTCCCGCCTTTTTCCCCTCAATTTTGGCTAGAAAATACAGAATTTTGGCGGGAAAAGAACCCGAATTTTGGCGGGAAACCCCCAAATTTTTGCAGGAACCACCAATTTTCCCGCCTTTTTTCCACCAAATTTTGGCGGGAAAATAACCCCAATTTTGGCGGGAAAACCAAAAATTCTGGCAGGAAACGAACCCAAGTTTTGGCAGGAAATTACCAGATTTTGGCGGGAAATGAACCCAAATTTTGGCGGGAAACTCCAATTTTCCTGCCTTTTTTCCACCAAATTTTGGCGGGAATACCCAATTTCCCCACTTTTTAAACCCAAATTTTGGCGGGAAAATCCCAAATTTTGGCAGGAAACTCCAATTTTCTTGCCTTTTTTTCACCAAATTTTGGCGGGAAAAGAACCCCAATTTTGGCGGGAAACCCAAAAATTCTGGCAGGAAACGAACCCAAGTTTTGGCAGGAAATTACCAGATTTTGGCGGGAAATGAACCCAGTTTTTGGCGGGAAATCCCCAATTTTCCCGCTTTTTTTCACCAAATTTTGGCGGGAAAATCCCAAATTTTGGCGGGAAATCCCCAATTTTCCCGCCTTTTCCCCCTCCAGTTTGGCGGGAACCCCCCCAAATTTTGGCGGGAAAAGCCCGGATTTTTGGCGGGAACCCCCCCCCCGCGTTACCGACGCTAATTAGGCTTTTCCTCGTTAGCAGGGACAGCTGCTTGGGCTCGGAATGGAGGTCAGGCGTCTTCATCTCCCAATTACGAGGGGCCCTTGCACTCCTTGGTAGGTGTTAATGAGTTCATTAGCGCCCTCGTTAGCAGCTCGGCCATCGCCGCCTTCATTACTCGTCAATTACGCCGTTAATTGCTCTGGTTTTTGGTGAAAAAAGCCAGAATTTATTTGGTTAAGTTGCATTGAAATTCCTTAATTAGCAGCATTTCTGTTAATGAGTTAACGCCTCGTTCGTGCCTCATAAATGACTCATTAATTAATCAACAATTAAGCATTAATTAGGCAGTTTTCTCACTCATAAAAGTGGGAATTTAAGGGGTTAATTGAGACTGAAATTCCTTAATTAGTGGCTTCTTTGTTAATTGATTAGTGGCTAATTAATGGCTCATTAATAGCTCTTCAATTAGTCATTAATTAAGCATTAATTAGGCCTTTTTTGGGTCAAAAAAGTGGGAATTTAGTTAGTTAAATGGGGTTGAAGCTCCTTAATTAGTAGCCTCCCGATTAACTAATTAATGCCTCATTAGTTATTCACAAATGGCTAATTATTCAACCATTAATCAGGCAGTTGTTAGACATTAATTAGACATTAACTAGCCATTAATTATTCAGCTTTGGGTTTGAAAAGCAGAAATTTGTTTAAATTTTTGGGGTGGAACTTCCTTAACAAACCGTGTCTATCTTAATTAATGACTAATTAATAATTAGTGAATGGATACGTAACCAGCCATTAATCAGGCATTTATTACTCATTAATTAGGCATTAATCATTCGTTAATTAGTCATTAATTAGGCATTAATTATTTGGTTCAGGGTCAAAAAAGCTGGAATTTATTGGGGATCATCAAGATCAAAACTCCTTAATTAGCACATAATTAATTATTCATGAATGCTTAATTATCCAGGCATAATTAAGTATTTGTTGGGAGTTAATTAGGCACTAATTAAGTGTTAATTAGGTGGATTTTGGGGGTGTTTTTGAGGGGTTTTTGGCGTCAAAAAATTCTCATTTTTTGTTCCATTTTTGGGTTTTTTTCATCTTTTTTTTGGGGGGTTTTTCCAAGTTTTGCTGATGGGGTTTTGGTGGTGAGAGAGGAGAAAATTCCTGGGAAAATTCCAGAAAATTCACAAAAAATGCCAAAAAATTTCTGGGAAAATTTAAAAAAATCCTGGAAAAATTCCAGGAAAATTGTGAAAAAATTCAGGAAAATTTAAAAAAAAATATCAGGAAAATCCTGAAAAATTGAGGAAAAATTCCCAGAAAAATCCTAAAAAAATCTTGGAAAAAAACCCCTTTAAAAATCCCTGAAAATTCCTGGAAAATTCAGGAAAAAATAAAAAAAATCCCAGAAAAATCCTGAAAAATTTGAGGAAAAAATCCCAAAAAATCTGAGAAAAAATTGTGAAAAAATTCAGGAAAATTAAAAAAAAAATATCAGGAAAATCCTGAAAAATTGAGGAAAAATTCCCAGAAAAATCCTAAAAAAATCTTGGAAAAAAACCCCTTTAAAAATCCCTGAAAATTCCTGGAAAATTCAGGAAAAAATCTAAAAAATCCCAGAAAAATCCTGGAAAATTTGAGGAAAAAATCCCGAAAAATCTGAGAAAAATTTAAAAAAAAAATCCCAAAAATCTTTTAAAAATCCCCAAAAATTCCCCATAAAAATCCCAAGTAATCCAAAAAAATTTCCATAAAATTAAAAGAAAAAATTAAAAAAAAAAAATCCCAAAAATCTTTTAAAAATCCCCAAAACTTCCCCATAAAAATCCCAAGTAATCAAAAAAAATTTCCATAAAATTTAAAAAAAATCCTTAAAATAACACCCCAAAAATCAACCCCCAAAAAATTTTAAAATTATAAAAACCTCATAAAAATCCACTAAAAATAAAGTTTAAAAACTCCTTTAAAAATCCCATTAAAAGTCTTAAAAAAAATCTAAAAACAACAAAAAATTCCCCATAAAATCCAGAAAAAATCTGAAAAATCTCAAAAAATTCCCACAAAATCCCCATGAAAATCCTATAAAATTCCAAATAAAAATCCTCAGAAATTTCCAAAAAAATTTTTTTAAATCCTCAAAAAAATCCTGAAAAAATCCCCACAAAATCCTATAAAAATCCTAAAAAAATCTTTTAAAATCCCCTAAAAATGCTCAAAAAATCTTCAAAAAAATTGCCAAAATCCTGAAAAACTTCTCAAAAAAATTCCCCAAAAAATTCTTGAAAAATTGTCAAAAATTCCAAAAGAACCCCCAAAAAATCTTAAAAAATTTTTAAAAATCCTTAAAAAATCCTGAAACGTTCTCAAAAAATCCTCAAAAAATTCCCCAAAAAAATCTTGAAAAATTGTCAAAAATTCCAAAAGAACCCCCAAAAAATCTTAAAAAATTTTTAAAAATCCTTAAAAAATCCTGAAACGTTCTCAAAAAATCCTCAAAAAATTCCCCAAAAATGTTTAAAAATTCAGTAAAAAATGCAAAAAAATTCCCATAAAATTCCCTAAAAATCTCCATCAAAAATCCCAAATTTTGACCAAAAAATCTGAATTTTTTCTTTTTTTCCCCTTTTAGCAGAGCCGCATCGAGGACCGCCTGGAGCGCCTGGACGACGCCATCCACGTCCTTCGGAACCACGCCGTGGGCCCGGCCACCGCCATGGCCACCGGCGGCCACGGCGACATGGCCGCCATCATCGGGGCCACCCACAACGGGGCCGTGGCCACCCTGGCTGGGGGCTACGGGAGCGGGCTGCTGGGCCAGAGACATTCCTTGATGGTGAGGGGGAACATTTGAAAAAAATGGGGAAAAAGTGGGGAAAATTTGGGACAAAATGGTGGACAAAATGGCGGAAAATTGGGGGCAAAATGGCAGACGATTGGAAACAAAATGGCGGGCAAATGGAGGAAAAATGGGGGAAAATGGCGGACAAAATGGAGACAAAATGACAGAAAATTGAGGACAAAATGGTGGACAAAATGGAGGAAAATGGGAAACAAAATGGCAGACAAAATGGCGGAAAATTGGGAGAGAAATGGTGGAAAATTTGGGACAAAATGGAGGACAAAATGGAGAACAAATGAGGACAAAATGGCAGAAAAATTGGGGGCAAAAGGGTGGACAAATGGGGGGGAAAATGGCGGAAAAGTGGTGCCAAAATGGAGGAAAAATGGCGGGAAATTAGGGACAAAATGGTGGACAAAATGGAGGAAAGTTTGGGACAAAATGGTGGAAAATTAGGGACAAAATTGTGGACAAAATGGTGGGAAAATGGCGTAAAAATAGGGAAAAAATGGCAGAAAAATGGGACAAAATGGAGGAAAATTGTGGTCAAAATGGCAAACAAAATGGTGGAAAAATGGAGGAAAATTAGGGAGAAAATGACGGAAAATTGGGGACAAAAGGGCGGAAAATTGGGGACAAAATGGTAGAGAAATGGGGACAACATGGCAGATAATTGGGGTCAAAATGGCAAACAAAATGGTGGGAAAATGGAGGAAAATTAGGGAGAAAATGGCGGAAAAATGGGACAAAATGGAGGAAAATTGTGGTCAAAATGGCAAACAAAATGGTGGGAAAATGGAGGAAAATTAGGGAGAAAATGGCGGAAAATTGGGAGCAAATTGGTGGAAAATTGGGAGCAAAATGGTGCACAAAATGGAGGAAAATTTGGGACAAAATTGGCGGGAAAATGAGGACAAAATGGCGGACAAATGGAGAGGAAAATGGCGAAAAAGTGGTGACAAAATGGAGGAAAAATGGCGGGAAATTGGGGATAAAATGGCGCACAAAATAGAAGACAAATGGGCACAAAATGGTGGGAAAATGGGGACAAAATGGCGGGAAACTGGGGACAAAATGGAGGAAAAATGGCGGGAAACTGGGGCCAAAATGGCAGAGAAAATGGTGGAAAATTGGGGGGGGAAATGGCGGAAAATTGGGGAAAAAATCCGGAAAAAATGGGACAAAATGGAAAAAAATTCGGGAAAAAAGGGTGGAAAATTGGGGACAAAATGGTGGAGAAAATGGAGAAAAAAATGGGGGAAAATTGGAGGAAAAAATGGGGGGAAATGGAGAAAAATTGGGGAAAAATGAAAAAAAATTGGTGATTTTTTGGGGGGATTTTCAGGGAAATTTTTGGAGATTTTTTTGGGATTTTTTTGGAAATTTTGGGCATTTTTTGGGGATTTTTTTTATTTTTTGCGGGGGGGATTTTGGGGGTTTTTTGGTGGTTTTTTTTTGTGGGGGGGAATTTTTGGAGATTTTTTTTAGGACTTTTGGTGGGATTTTTGGAGATTTTTTGGGAACTTTTAAGGAAATTTGGGGGGGATTTTTTGTGCAATTTTTATGGATTTTTTTGGGATTTTTGGGGGGGATTTTTGAGATTTTTGGGGGATTTTTGGCAGAATTTTAGAGAATTTTGGGGGATTTTTTTGGGGATTAAGGGGGGTTTTTTTGGGAAATTTTGGGGATTTTTTGGGGACTTTTCAGGGAGTTTTTTTTTTATTCTGGGATTTCTTGAGATTAAAGATTTTGGAATTTTGTCTTTTTGGAATTTGGAATTTTCTGGATTTTGGGATTTTGGGATTTCGTGGAATTCGGGTCCTTCTGAGATTCAAATTTCCCGGTTTTGGGATTTCCTGAAATTTACGATTTTGAGGTTTTGGGATTTTTGGATTGTGACTTTTTGGGATTTTGGGAGTTTTGGGATTTTGGGCTTTGGGTTTTTGGGATTTTTGGGATTTTGGGATTTTTGGGATTTTGGGCTTCGGGTTTTTGGGATTTTTGGGATTTTCTGGATTTTGGGTTTTTGGGTTTTCCTGGAATTCGCGGCTTTAAGAAATTCGAATTTTCCATTTTTGGGATTTCCTGAAATTTACGATTTTGGCATTTCCTGGAATGTGGGCTTTGGGATTTTTGGGATTTTTGGGATTTTGGCTTTTTGGGATTTGGGATTTCCTGGAATTGGGGATTTGGGCCTTTCTCAGATTTGGAATTTTTCATTTTTGAGCTTTTTGGGTTTTTGGGATTTCGTGAAATTTACGATTTTGCCTTTTTGGGATTTTAACATTTGGGGATTTTGACTTTTTGGGATTTAGGGATTTGGGATTTCCTGAATTTTGGCCTTTCCAGGTGGGAGCTCACCGAGAGGACGCCGTCGGCCTCCGGGGCAGCCACTCCTTGGTGCCCAGCCAGGTGCCGGTGCCGACGCTGCCGGTGCCGTCGGCGACGTCGCCGGAGCTCAACCCCAGCCAGGATCCCTACAGGGGTGAGAATTCCCAGAAATCCCCCCAAAGTCCCCAAAAATTAAAAAAAAAAAAAAACAAAACAAAAATTCCCCAAAAATCCCCCCAAAAAATCAAAACAATTGCAAAAAATTCCTCAAAAATTCCCCCAAAATTCCCCAAAAAATGAAAAAAAATTTTAAAAATTCCCCCAAAATTCCCCCAAAATTTACCCCAAAGTTCCCCCAAAAATTCCTCAAAAAATGCCCAAAATTTCCCAAAAATTTCACAAGAATTAAAAAAAATTCCCCAAAAAATCCTCAAAAATCTGCCAAAAATCCCCCCAAAAAATTCTCCGCGAAATTTCCACAAAATCGTTAAAAAAAAAAAATCCCCAAAAATTCCCCAAATATTTCCCCAAAAATGCCCCAAAAAATTCCAAAAAAATTCCCAAAAAATTCCCCAAAATTCCACAAAAATCCACAAAAAATCCAAAAATTTCCCAAAAATTCCCCCCAAAATTCCCCAAAAATTAGCAAAAAATTTCCTTAAAATTGCCCAAAAATTCGCCCCAAACTCCCCCAAAAAATTGCCCAAAAATTGCCCAAAAATTTGTCAAAAAATTCCCAAAAACTCCCCAAAAAATTCCTAAAAAAAAATGCCCAAAAAAATTCCCAAAAATTCCCCAAAAATTTCCAAAAATTTCCCAAAAATTCCCAGAAAATTTAAAAAAAATTTCCCAAAAATTTGTCAAAAAATTTCCCCAAAAATTTGTAAAAAAAATTCCCAAAAATTCCTCAAAAATTCTCCCAAAAATTCTTCAAAAAATTCCCAAAAAATTCCTAAAAATGCCCCAAAAATTTCCCAGAAATTCCCCAAAAATTTCCCAAAAATTCAAAAAAAATCCCAAAAAATTCCTCCAAACTGCCCCCAGAAATTCCCAAAAAAATCCTAAAAAATTTCCAGAAATTCCTAAGAAAATCCCAAAAAATTCACCAAAATTACCCAAAAATTCCCCAAAAATTCCCCCCAAAATCCCCAAAACTCCCCAAAAATTCCCCTAAAATTCTCCAAAAATAAAAAAAATCCCAAAAATTCCCCAAAAATTCCCCCAAAAATTCTTCAAAATTGGGGGGAATGAGAAAAATTTGGGAAAAATTTGGATTAAAATAAGGAAAATCGGGGGAAAAATTGGGAAAAAAACTGGGCAAAATGGGCATAAATTTGATTAAAAATACTAAAAAAAGGGAAAAATCAGGAAAAAATGGGAAAAAAATTTCTTTTTGAACCCAAAAGTGGATTTCTCAGGAATTGCTGGGGCCCTGCAGGGGCCGAGCGCCTCCTCGGGCAGCTCCGAGATCAAATCTGGGATAAAAACTGGGGACAAAGAATTGGCAAAAAATGCTAAAAAAATGGGAAAAATCAGGAAAAATGGGAAATAATTGGGGAAAAATTGGGAAAAACTGGGGAAAAATTAAAAAAAAAAGATAAATAAATGGGGAAAAACCAGAAAAAAATGGGGAAAAAATGGGGGAAAATGGGCAAAAATGGGAAAAAATTGGTAAAAAATGAGGAAAAATTGGGAAAAAATCAGAAAAAATATCAGAAAAAAATAGGAAAAATGGGGAAAAAATTGAGAAAAAATGGGGGAAAATTTGCATAAAATGATGAAAAAATGGGAAGAATGGGCAAAATATTGGGGAAAATTGGGGAAAAATTTGAGAAAAATGGGAAAAATTGGGGGAAAATGGGGAAATAATTGGGGGTAAAATAATGAAGAAATGGGGAAAAAGTGGAAAAAGATTGGGGAAAAATTGGGAAAAATTGGAGAAAAAATTGGGAAAAATGGGCAAAAATTTGAAAAAAAATGCTAAAAAATGGGGAAGAAATCAGGAAAAATGGGAAATGATTGGGAAAAAGGTGGAAAAAATGGGGAAAAATGGGAAAAAATTGAAAAAAAAATGCTAAAAAATGGGGAAGAAATCAGGAAAAATGGGAAATGATTGGGAAAAAGGTGGAAAAAATGGGGAAAAAACTGGGGAGAATTGGGGATAAAATGAGGAAAAAAGGGGCAGAAAATTGATAGAACATGCTAAAAAGTGGCGAGAAGCTGGAGAAGCGCGGCAAAGGCGGGGCGCAGCGAGCCGGCAGCGCGGCGCTGACGGCCCCGCGTTCCAGGCGCGGCCGGCGCCCTGCAGCCGCACGGCGCCTCCTCGGGCAGCTCCGACATCAAGTCCGACGACGAGGCCGACGAGAACCTGCGCGAGCCCAAGGGCAACGACGACAAGAAGCTGGACGACGACAAGAAGGACATCAAGGCCATTACTAGGTCAAGATCTAGGTAACGGGAGAGGGGAGCGGCACAGCGGGGGGGGACAAGCCGGGGACACCGAAAACGGGCAATCGCAGCAGAAATGGGCAGAATGCGGGCAAATGGAAAACATCCCACTAAAATTGGGGAAAATGGGGAAAACATGGGGAAAAATGAGAATAAAATGGAGAAAAAATGGGGAAAAATAGGGGAAAAATGGGAAAAAAACTGGGGAAAATTCTAAAAAGAATGGGGGAAATCGGAGAAAAATTGGGGAAAATACGGGGAAAAAATGGGGAAAAAATGAGAATAAAATGGAGAAAAAATGGGGGAAAATAGGGGAAAAAATGAGAATAAAATGGGGAAAAATTGGGGAAAATTAGAGAAAAAATCGGAGAAAAATTGGGGGAAAATTGGGAAAAAATTGGGGAAAAAATTCAGAAAAAAATGGGAAAAATCGGAGAAAGAAATGGAAATAAAATTGGGGGAAATTGGGGGAAATTTGGGCAAAATTTGACAAAGTTGGAGGAGGAGAAGAAGGAGGTCAAGGGCAGAACTGGGTCAAGATCTGGGGAACGGGAGAGGGGAAATGGGGGAAAAAAGGGGAAAATGGGAAACAAATAATTGGGGAAATTTGAAAAAAAATGGGGGAAATCGGAGAAAAATTGGGGGAATATGGGGAAAAAATGAGGAAAAAATGGGGAAAAATGGGGAAAAATTGGATAAAAATTCAGAAAAAATGGGCAAAATCAGAGAAAAAATGGAAATAAAATTGGGGGGAAATGGGGCAAAATATGGGGGAAAATTGGGAAAAATTTGGGGAAAAAATGAGAATAAAATGGAAAAAATTGGGGGAAATTGGGGAAAAATTGGGGGAAAATGAGGAAAAATTGGGGGAAAATTGGGGCGAAAATGGGGGAAAAAAACCAGAAAAAATGGGAAAAAATGGAGAAAAATTGGGGAAAAATGGGGAGAAAATCAGAAAAACAAGGGAAAAATTGGAGGGAAAATTTGGGGAAATAGGGGAAAAATTGGGGAAAATTGGGGAAAAAATGAGAATAAAATGGAAAAAATTGGGGGGAAAATTCAGAAAAAAAAAAGGAAAAATTTTGGGGAAAATTTGGGAGAAATTGGGGAAAATTGGAGGGAAAATGGCAAAAAATGAGAGAAAAAAAGGGAAAACTCAGGAAAAAATGGAGAACTTCATGGAGAACTTCATGGAGAACTTCATGGAGAACACCGAAGCCTCCATGGAGAACTTCCATGGAGAAGTTCTTCCGGGTTCTCCATGCAGTTCTCCATGCAGTTCTCCATGGACGTTCTTCCACGTTCTTCATGAGTTTAGAGGAACTTCCATGGAGAACTTCCGTGGAGAAGTTCATGGAGAACTTCATGGAGAACATTGAAGAACTTCTCCACAGAAGTTCTCCATGGAGGTTTTGGTGTTCTCCATGGAAGTTCTTCATGAAGTTTATCATGGAAGTTTTCCAAGTTCCTCATGAATTTAGAGGAACTTCCGTGGAGAACTTCATGAAGAACTTCATGGAGAACTTGGTAGAACTTCCATGGAGAACACCACAAACTCCATGGAGAACTTCTGTGGAGAAGTTCTTCAATGTTCTCCATGAAGTTCTCCATGAAGTTCTCCATGAAGTTCTCCATGGAATTTGTGATCTTCTCCAACCATGGTGGACAACCCGAGGTGGACACGAGATTAGAACGTTGTTTTGGACCTTGTGCAGCAATAACGACGACGAGGACCTGACCCCGGAGCAGAAGGCCGAGCGCGAGAAGGAGCGGCGCATGGCCAACAACGCCCGCGAGCGGCTGCGCGTGAGGGACATCAACGAGGCCTTCAAGGAGCTGGGCAGGATGGTCCAGCTGCACCTCAAGAGCGACAAGCCGCAGACCAAGCTGCTGATCCTGCACCAGGCCGTGGCCGTCATCCTCAGCCTGGAGCAGCAGGTCCGAGGTTGGTCATGGACCTGCGGGGGGTGGGCTCCAGGAGCTTCTTCATGGGTTCTTCATGAGGTTCTCCATGGAAGTTCTTCAAAGTTCTCCATGGAGTTCTTTATGGAAGTTCTACCAAGTTCTTCATGGGCGTTCTTCATGGAGTTCCACCAAGTTCTCCATGGAAGTTCCTCCAAGTTCTCCATGAAGTTCTTCATGGAAGTTCTCAATGGAAGTTCTCCATAGAGTTCTTCATGGAAGTTCTACCAAGTTCTCCATTAAGTTTTTCATGGAAGTTCTCCATGGAATTCTCCATGAAGTTCTCCATGGAAGTTCTCCAAAGTTTTCCATGGAAGTTCTCTATGGAAGTTCTCCATGAAGTTCTCCATGGAAGTTATTTGACGTTCCCCATGAAGTTCTCCATGGAAGTTCTCCATGAGGTTCTTCATTAATTTCTCCATGGAAGTTCTTTATGGAAGTTGTCCATGGAAGTTCTCCATGGACGTTCTTCATGAATTTCTCCATGAGGTTCTTCATGGAAGTTTTTCCAAGTTATCCATGGAAGTTCTACCAAGTTCTCCATGAAGTTCTTCGAAGTTCTCCATGAAGTTCTCAATGGAAGTTCTACCAAGTTCTGCATGAACTTTGAGGAACCTCAATGGAGAACTCAATAGAACCTTCATGGAGAACTTCCATGGAGAACTTGGGAGAACATCCATGGAGAACTTCCATGGAGAACTTCATGGAGAACCCCACAAATTCCATGGAGAACTTCCATGGAGCAGCAGGTCCGAGGTTGGTGATGGTCCTGGGCTGGGGTGGGGTTTGTCCGTAGGATTTGGGGGGTTCTCCATGAAGTTCTTCATGAAGTTCTTCATGGAATTTTTGGTCTTCTCCATGGAACTTCTCCATGGAAGTTCTCCAGAAGTTCTCCATTGAACTTTTGGTATTTTCCATGAAGGTTTTGGAGTTTTCCATGGAATGTTTGATGTTCTTCATGGAATTTTTTGGGGTTTTCCATGGAATTTTCGGGGTTCTTCTCCCTGGAAGTTCTCCATGGAATTTTTGGGGTTCTCCATGGAGTTCTCCTCCATGGAAATTCTCCCGAAGTTCTCCATTAAGTTCTCCATGGAACTTTTGATGTTCTCCATGGAAATTTTGACAATTTCCATAAAATTTTTGATGTTTTCCATGAAAGTTTTGGGTTTTTCCATTAAATTTTTGGGGTTCTCCATGGGGTTCTCCTCCCTGGAAGTTCTCCAGATGTTCTCCATGAAGTTCTCCATTGAATTTTTGACGTTCTTCATGGAATTTTTTACGTTCTCCATGGAAATTTTGGGGTTCTCCATGGAAATGTTGGGGTTCTCCATGGAAATTTTGGGTTTTTCCATGGAATTTTTGCCATTTTCCATGGAATTTTCAGGGTTCTTCATGGAGTTCTCCTCCATGGAAGTTCTCCATGGAACTTCTGACGTTCTTCATTAAACATTTGAGGTTCTCCATGGAATTTTTGGGGTTCTCCATGGAGTCCTCCATGAAGGTTCTCCAGAAGTTCTCCATTAAGATCTCCATGGAATTTTTGAGGTTCTCAATGGAATTTTTGGGGTTTTCCATGGAAATTTTGGGGTTTTCCATGAAATTTTCAGGGTTCTCCATGGAGCTTTCGGGGTTCTCCATGGGGTCCTCCTCCCTGGAAGTTCTCGAGAAGTTCTCCAGGAAACTTTTTATGTTCTCCATGGAAATTTTTGGGGTTCTCCATGGAATTTTTGGGTTTTTCCATGGAATTTTTGGGGTTCTCCATGGGCTTCTCCTCCATAGAAGTTCTCCATGGAACTTTTGAGGTTCTCCATGGAACTTTTGAGGTTCTCCATGGAACTTTTGATGTTTTTCATGGAACTTTTGGGGTTTTTCTCCATGGAAGTTCTCCATGAAACCTTTGAGGATTTCCATGGAACTTTCGGGGTTCTCCAGGGGGTTCTCCTGGCTGGAGGTCCTGCAGGAGTTGCCCAGCTCTCGTGTCCCCGCAGAGCGGAACCTGAACCCCAAGGCGGCGTGCCTGAAGCGGCGCGAGGAGGAGAAGGTGACCTCGGAGCCGCCGCCGCTGGCCCTGCCCGGGGCCCACCCGGCCATGGGCGACGGCGGCAGCCACATGGGGCAGATGTGAGAGGTGGGAAACGGGGCGAAAACGGGGAAATCTGGGGAAAACGGGGAAATCTGGGGAAATTTCGGGGAAAATTGAGAAAAAATTGGGGGAAAATTGGGAATAAAATTGGGGGAAATTGAGATAAAAATTGGGGAAAAATTGGAATAAAATGCAGGAAAATTTGGGAAAAATTGGGGAAAAAGAGGGGGAAAAGGGAAAAAATGGGGGAAAATTTGGGGAAAATTTGGGGAAAATTGGAATGAAATGGGGAAAATTTGGGGGGAAATTTGTGGGAAATTGGGGAAAAAAATGAGGGAAAATTGGGGGAAAAAATAGGAAAAATTGGGGCAAAATTGGGGGAAATTTGGGCAAAAATTTGGAGAAATTTGGGGAAAAAATTGGGGAAAATGGGGAAAAATTGGGGGAAAATGGGGGAAAAATGGAAAAAAATTGGGGAAACTTTTGGGAAAAATTGGGAATAAAATGAGGGAAATCTGGGGGAAAATTGGGGGAAATTGGAATAAAAAAGGAGGAAATTTGATGAAAAATTGGGAAAAAATTGGGGAGAATTTGGGAGAAATTTGGGGAAAAATTGGGGGAAATTGGGGAAAAATTGGAATAAAATGGGGGAAAATTGGGAAAAAATTATCAAAAATTTGTAGGGCAAATTGGGGAAAAATGAGAAAAAATTGGGGGGAAATTGGAATAAAATGGGGGAAGATTGGGGGAAATTTGGGGGAAAATGGGGAAAAATGGGGAAAAATTGGGATAAAAATGAAGAAAATTGGGGGAAAATGGGATAAAAAGGGGGGGAAATGGGCAAAAAATGGGGGGAAAAATTGGAATAAAATGGAGGAAAATTGGGGAAATTTTGGGGGGAAAATGGGGAAAAATTAGGGAAAAATTGGGGAAAAATAGAGAAAAATTTGGAATAAAATGGGAAAAAATGGGGGAAAATTTGAGGAAATTTTGGGGAAAATTGGGATAAAAATGGGGGGGAAATTGGGGAAAAATTTGGGGGAAATTTGGGGGAAAATGGGGAAAAATGGGGAAAAATTGGGATAAAAATGAAGAAAATTGGGGGAAAATGGGATAAAAAGGGGGGGAAATGGGCAAAAAATGGGGGGAAAAATTGGAATAAAATGGAGGAAAATTGGGGAAATTTTGGGGGGAAAATGGGGAAAAATTAGGGAAAAATTGGGGAAAAATAGAGAAAAATTTGGAATAAAATGGGAAAAAATGGGGGAAAATTTGAGGAAATTTTGGGGAAAATTGGGATAAAAATGGGGGGGAAATTGGGGAAAAATTTGGGGGAAATTTGGGGGAAAAATAATAAAAATTGGAATAAAAATGGAGGAAATTTGAGGGGAAATTGGAGAAAATTGGGGGAAGATTGGGGGAAATTTGGGGGAAAATAGGGAAAATTTGGGGGAAAATTGGGAAGAATGGGAAAAAAATGGGGGGAAATTGGGGGAAAATTTGTGAATAAATAGGGGGAAAATGGGGAAAAACGGAGGAAAATTTGGGTGAAAATGGGAAAAAATCGGGGAAAAATGGGAATAAAATTGAGGAATATTGGGATAAAAGTGGGGAAAAAATGGGGAACATTCGGGGAAAAATTGAGGAAAAAATCAGAATAAAATGTGTAAAAAATGTACAAAAAAGCTGTAAAAATTTGCAAATTTTTAACCAAAATTTTGGGTTTTTTGCAGGTCTGGAAATTCCCGTTCCCATTTCTCGTTTCTTTCCTTGGATCCTGTAAAAAAAAATCGAATTTTTTTTTTGGTTTTTTTTTTGGTTTTGTTTTTTTTTCTGGAAATTTCTCGACAAGTCTGAGTCATTCCACGGTCGCAGACGCCTGAAAATTCCTCCCCCAAAATTTGGGCAAAAATTTGGGGCGAATTTGGGGGAAATTTTGGGGGAAAAAGTGGGAATTTCGCAGCCAGAGACTGCCCCGATCGTCGCTTCCACACTGTGGATTTTGTGCCTAAAAAAATGTGGAATTTTGGGTTTTTTTTGGAAAAATGGAGGTGGAAAATGGGGGGGATGAAATAAAAATGTTGGAAAATGAAAAAGAAGGTGGAGAATGAGTGGAGAAATGGGGGGAAAATGGGGGAAATTGGGAAAATTGCGGGGAAATGGGGAAAAATTGGGAAAAATTGGGGAAAAATTGGAATAAAATGGGGGAAAAGGGAAATAAAATGTGGGAAAAATTGGATAAAAACCTGAAATATTGGGGGGAAAATGGGGGAAAAATTGGAATAAATTGGGGAAAAATTGGGGGGAAAATTGGAATAAAATGGGGGAAATTGGGGGAAAATTTGGAATAAAATTGGGGGAAAAATTAATTTTAAAATGGGAAAAATTTGGGGAAAATGGGGAAAATTGAAATATTGGGGGGAAAATGGGAATAAATTGGGGGAAAATGGGAGAAAATTTGGGGAAAAATTGGGGAAAATTTGGGGAAACATGGGAGAAAAATTGGGGGGAAAATTGAAATATTGTGGGGAAAATTGGGGGAAAATTTAATTAAAAATGGGAAAAAATTGGGGAAAAAAATAGAATTAAATGGTGGAAAAATTGGGGGAAAATGGGAAAAAATTTGGAATAAAATGGAGAAAAATTGGGGGAAATGGGAATAAATTGGGGGAAAAATTGGAATAAAATGGGGGGAAATTGGGGGGAAATTGGAAATAAAATGGGGGGAAAATTGGTGAAAATTTAGCTAAAAATGGAAAAAGATTGGGGGAAAATGGGGGAGAAAATGGAAATATTGGGGGAAAAATTGATGAAAAAATGGGGGAAAAATGTGGGAAAATTTAATATAAAAATGGAGAAAAAATTGGGGAAGAAAATGGGGGGAAATGGTGGAAAAACTGGAAATAAATTGGAGGAAAATTAGGAGGAAAATGAGGGAAAAAATGGGGGAAAATTGGGGAAAAACTGAGGAAAAAATATTGGAAAAAATGAAATATTGGGGGAAAAATGGGGGAAAATTGGAATAAAATGGGGGGAAATTGGGGGAAAATGGGGAAAAGTATTGTGAAAAAAGGGGAAATTTGAGGAAAAAATAGGGGAAAATTAGGGAAAATATTGGGAAAATTGGGGGGGAAATGAGGGAAAATTGGGGGGAAAAGGGGAAAAATTTAATTAAAAATTGGGGAAAAAATGAAAATAATTTCTAAAAAATCAGGGAAAAATTCTGGAAAAATTGGGAAGAAAATGGAAAAAATTGAAAAAAAATTTGGAAAAATTGGGAAAAATTCAAATAAAAATTGGGGGAAAATTGGGGAAATTTTAATTTAAAATTGGGGGAAATGCAAGAAAGTTGAAATTAAAAATTAGACTAAATTTGGAAAAATTTGTGAAAAATTCAGGGGGAAAATGCTGAAAAAACTGGGTAAAATTTAAATAAAAATGAGAAAAATTGATAAAAATGAAATAAAAAATTGGAAAAAATTGGAAAAAATTTCAAGTTAAAAATTGAAATGAAATTGGAATAAATTAATAAAAGGAAAATTTCAAATAAAAATTTAGAAGATTCAGAAAAAATTAAAATAAATTTTTTCAAAATTTTTCCAAAATATTTTGGAAATTTCAGAAAAAAATTTAAAATAAAGAATTAAAATTACCCCAAGAAATATAAAAAAATTAAGAAAAAATTTAAATATTCAGTAAAATATTAAATTCTTTGGGAAAAAAAAAGGAGAAAATTTTAATTAAAGAAAATAATTTAAAAATTAATTTTTGTAATTAAAAGAAATAATTTTAAAAATTGTAAAAATTTTAATTAAAAAAGAAAGAAAATAAAGCATAATTTTTTGGATTTGTAAAGTGGGGGAAAATATGAAAAATATTTAATTTAAAATGAAAAAGGTGGAAAAATAAAAAATATAATAGAAAAAATGAAAAAATAGAATTAAAAAAAGAAATGGAAAAAAATTAAATTTAAATCAAAATTTAAAGAAAAATAATATAAAAAATGAAAAATTTGAAAATAAAGTAAAAATACAAATAAAAATAAATAAGAAAAATTTAAAATTAAAGTAAAAATTTCAATAAAATATAAAAAGAAATAAAAATAATAAAAAATTAAAGTAAAAATGGAAAAAATGAATAAAAATAAAAATTTAAAATTTAAAAAATTAAAAATTATTTTAAAATAAAATATAAAAATATAAATAAAAATTAAAATAAAATTATAAAAATAAGAATAAAAATAATAAAAATAAATAAATAATTTTAAAATAAAAAATTAAAATCAAAATAATAAAAAACAAATAAAAATAAAATTAAATTAAAATAAAAATGGGAAAATTAAATTTAAAAAAGGAAAAAATTAATTTAAAATTTTAAAAATTAAATTAAAAATTAAAATAAAGAATGAAAAATTAAATAAAAATGTTAATAATATAAAAATAGAATTAAATTTAAAAATTAAATTTAAAGTGGGTAGAAAGGTTAAAAAAAGTCCCAAAAGCAGCAAAAAAAAGGGAAAAAAATCAGATTTTTATCAATTTTTAGGGTTAGGGAAAAGAATAAATGGAATTATTCAAATAAAAATTTATAAATAGAAATATTTATAAAAACTTATATATTAAAAAATGGAAAAAAATTTCAAATTTTGGTTTTTTTCTTTTTTTCCCGGAGGTTTTTGGGGGTTCCTGGAGTTGAAAAGGAAAAAAAGGAAAAAAATTTTGGATTTTTTGGGGTTTTTGGGGGAAAAATTTGGAGATTTTTGGTAAAAAATTGGGATTTTTAGGGGAATTTCTGAGGAATTTTTGGGGAATTTTTCAGGATTTTTTGGGGAATTTTTGAGGATTTTTTAGGGATTTTTTTGAGATTTTTAAGGGAAATTTTGGGGAATTTTGGGGGAGTTTTTGAGAATTTTTTGGGGAATATTTTAAGGATTTTTGGGGGAATTTTGGGGCTTTTTGGGGAAAATTTTGAGGATTTTTTTGAATTTTTGAGACAAATTTGGGGAATTTTCGGTCAAACTTCTGAGGATTTTTTTTAATTTTGGGGGAAATTCAGGGATTTTTTGGGGAATTTTTAGGGGAATTTTAATGATTTTTTTTTAGAATTTTAGGGGAAATTTTCAGGAAATTTGGGGGAAAAAATTGGGATTTTGGGGGGAATTTTTTGGGAATTTTAGGTAACTTTTTTGTGAATTTTCACCAAATTTTTGCAAAAAATTTGATTTTTTCCCCAATTTTTCTTGTCAACTCCCGACACCTCCGAATTATTCCCAAATTTTCTTTTTTTTTGGGATTAAACCTTTTTATCCAACAATAAAAATAATGAACTGTGGCCTTTTAAAAAAAAAAAAAAAAAAAAAAAGGGAAAAAACGAGAAAAAAAAATTGAATTTTTTCCATGTTTCAGTGCCTGGATTTTTGTTATAAAATTTCCTTTATTCAGTGAATTTTTTGGGGAAAAAATTTAATTTTAGGATTCCTGAAATAGGTGGAAAAAATGAAACTTTTGTGGGGAAAAATGGAATAAATTTGGGGTGGTTTTGGTGTTTTTTAGGAGGAAAAATGGGGGAAAATGGGAGAAAATTGGGGGGAATTGGGAAAAAATTGGGGGGAAATGGGAAAAAAATCATTAAAAATTGAGGAAAAAATAGGGGAAAAACTGGAAATTTTTGGGGGAAAAATAGGGGGAAATTGGGGAAAAATTGCGGAAAATTTGGGGAAAGGGGGGGAAATGGAGGAAAATGGGAATAAAATTTGGGGGAAATTGGAGGAAAAATGAGAGAAACAATGGGAAAAATTGGTGGAAAATTGGGAGAAAATTCTGATAAAATTGGGAAAATATTGGAGAAAAATTGGGAAAAATGGGGGCAAACTTGGTGGAAAATTGGGGGGAAAATGGGGAAAAATTGGGAAAAAATTGGGAAAAAAATCAGAAAAACTGGGGAAAAATTTGGGGGGAAAAATCAGGAAAAAATGGGGGAAAATGGGAAAAAAAACAGAAAAAAAAGGAAAAATAAAAGTTTTTAAAATGGGGAAAAATACGAAAAGTTTAAAAAAATTAAGTGACAGTTACACTTTGTTTGCAATGTGTGGCTGAGTGCCTCGATTTTTCCATGGATTTTTGGTGTATCCCTGAGTTGTGGAATTGTCCGGCCGGGCTGGGGAATTCTGGGAATGAGGAAAAATGGAAAAATGGGGGAAAATGGGGAAAAATAGGGAAAAATGGTGGAAATTGGGAATAAAATGGAGGAAAATGGGGACAAAATGGTGGAAAATGGGGAACAAAATGGCAGAAATTGGAGGGGAAATGGGAACAAAATGGCGGAAAATTTGGATCAAAATGGTGGAAATTTGGAACAAAATGACCCAAAATTGGGAACAAAATGGCGGGAAAATAAGGAACAAAATAGAAGAAAATGGGAACAAAATGGTGGAAATTGGGGAATAAAATGGAGGGAAAATGGGGACAAAATGGCGGCAAATTAGGAATTAAAAGGCGGAAAATTGGGGACAAAATGGAGAAAAATGGGGAACAAAATGGCGGAAATTGAGAACAAAGTGGGGGGAAAATGGGGAATAAAATGGAGGAAAATTGGGAACAAAATGGCAGAAAATGGGAACAAAATGGCGGAAGATTGGGAACAAAGGGGGAAAATTTGGGACAAAATGGAGGAAAATCGGGAATTAAAGGGAAGAAAATGGGAAACAAAATGGGGGAAAATTGGGGAAAAATTGGAATAAAATGGGAAAAAAAATTGAAAAAAATTTGAATAAAATGGGGGGGAAATTGGGAGAAAAATGGGAATAAATCAGAAAAATTGGGGGGGAGAAAGGGGAAAATTGGGAAAAAATTGGGAAAAATGGGGAACAAAAAAGAAAAAAATTGAATAAAATGGTGAAAAAATGGGGGGAAAATTGGGACAAAATGGGGAAAAATCAGAAAAAAATTGGGAAAATTGGGGGGGGAAAAGGGAAAAATTGGGGAAAAATGGGGGAAAAATCAGAAAAAATGGGGGAAATTGGGAAAAATTTGGAGAAAATGTGGAAAAATTGGGGAAAAAAATGAAATAATGGTGGGGGAAAATGGGGGAAAAATTG